CTAATTCTTTTCCCATTATCCCTTCTACAATCTTGCCTGCTACATTTATTCCTTCTGACAGTGATTTCACCGTATTTATTAAAGTTATCCCCACCACAGTTCTCTCTCGCATCCTCTGTGAATCTACTTGTGTTTCCCATTTCCTTTCGTTTCACTTCTTTTCAACTTCTTTTCTCAGTTCCTCTATATCATTTTCACCGAACATCTTTTCATCCTTTCTACCTTCTTTTCATAGACAGTCCAAACAACTGTCTGGTGACGTGATATTTTGGAAATCCATCTGCACCACGGTCCTTAGACAAATAGCACAACCCTGAGAAATGTAAAAATTATCCAACCATCCGTTGAGTACACCAGGGCTAAAGCAGGTGAGTGGGAAGACCTGCTACATTGGACTCAATCTAAGACTTGGAACTGTTCTACAACACCTAGAAATGAGCGCGGAGGAGATACTTGGAAGATATAGGGGACACCTAATGTCATAGCCACTGATGAAAATGGGACTCTTCGCTGGGAAGAACTATGGTGGTTGACTGAGAAATCTTAGCTGCCGTCATCTGAATACACCCTTCCACCATCTTCCGTCAGATGGGTTGGTGGAAAACACCACGTGGATATTAAAGTATGCCAAATCATCAGTTAATCGAAGAAGCTTAGCAGAGCTCAAAAAGTATGTGGTTAGTTTCTTACTTCAGTATCTAAGTGCAAAACACTTGACCACTGATGTAAATCCAGCCAAATTTTAGGAATACCGGATTCTTCAGATATACACTATTATCGAAGAAGTGATCATCAACCGTCGGTGGGAACTATGCTTCAGGAAATGAGCAGTCAAATGGTAAAGTTTCTGAACCTAGAAAATTACTCGTTCAGAAAAAGAGAATAGACCACTTGAAAACTGAACAAATCATTTTGAGAAGCCGATAAATAATGCCTGTGACAATTCTGTTGCAGAATCAGTAAAATGGCCTGGGTGACTAGTGGATAAATCTGGGGTACGTTGTGAACAAGCAGAGGGAAATCTGACGTGTGGCAGATATAGTCATTTGCTATTCCAATTACCGTATGATATAAATGTTTGCTACTATTTGTTTCCACAAGCTGAATTTACAATATTACAGGTAATTCTCTGATTACGAATCCTTGACTTCAGTCTACTTTGTGGAGCAGCTCAATCCTCAAAAGTCCGGTTATTACTGTTTACGTTAAGTCGTTTTATCAAAGCGCAAGCAAAACCGCCATATATTTTCGCAATACAAAAGGACGTACGGAGAGAGATAAATTCATTTCAGAACAGCATTGTCAAAAAAATTCAGGCAAACCATCACAACCAACATATTTTGAAGAGGAAACTTAGTAACCAAATAGCATTTAGTGTCGAAGACAAGAAAGTGAAGCAGCTCCCAAGCATAAAACGTCCGAAATATTTCTTGCCACTTTTGACAAATAAGTCAAAAACACGTCACTGAGCCACATACGTCGACAATCTTAGTCCTCTCACACGTTGTTAGGTGGAAGAAGTTTGGAATATCACAGTCCTCTGAAAGATTTTGAAGCTTGGTGCTATGACTTCCTGTGCCAACTGTCTGTATTGATAAAGTGTACGAAAGCTTCAATGAAACATTTACAAACCACACTTTTTTTCTTGTATACTTTTTTAGGAAGGGAATCAACAGAACCCCTAGTCCTGCACTGCAGTGGCGCTGGTGTCGAAGGTGATGGAAGTTCAAACAGGGGAACGTGTGGATGGAAATTTCCTACTGCATGATGGCCAATATAGTTTCAGAAAGGATCGGTTATGCGCTTCCAGAATCCTGGTAATCTGTAACAATAGGATGGTTTACTGAGATCCGCTAGTCCGTGTTTTCGTAATTAATAAGGTTTCAGCCACAACTTCCAACTTTACTCCGTATGATATTCTCTGCTGCAATTCCTTAAGGATCGGTATTGACAAACTATTTCTTCATATAAGTGTAAAACTTGGGCATTGTGGTAGAATGCAGTTCCATATTAGATTTGTTTATTTGATATATAGCACACAGTATAATTTACTTTATGATGTCTTGAGCATAAATTATTGCTCATAACCATATAGGTGTAATCAAACAGAGCTTATGACATCCAATTTTTATAGTCTTGTCCCCTGATATTCTTTGATTTTATCGGTAGTAAAGTCCTCCATATCTCTGGTATATGTGTTGCCTCATTCCTATTACATGTATTCAGTGTAGATTCATCGAATCTAAGTCATCAAGCAAGTAATGCTGCATCACTGTGCGCTAAATAATAGATAAACAAATCTAATATGAAACTGTTGCTTCCTTTTCAAGCATCACACGTATTAGACAGAGTTCTGTAGTAAGGTCAAAGGGGTATGCTGAGTCTGGATACTATCAACCTCTGAAGTTCCAAAAAGACACCCTATTGTTATTTTGTCTACCTTCTGTGTAGTCTAAGTTTTTCAACCGTTCCCTATACTGGTAACACCAAGCTATGGAGAGTTTCAATCAAAAGGATCTCCAAGACGGGCTCAGGGAGTTGGCGAAGAAGCACAAGACTGATTAACTAACACTTAATCCGTAAAAAATGTTGGAGGATATTCTCCAGCACCTGCGCGTTAGGTAGATTCTTCTTCTCACTTTGTATCACTTGCTTTTTACATTCAGAAATAGAGTGTAGCCTGTGCCTTCTGACGTGAAACTTGGATGCCTCACAGAACTAAACTACAGACATCACTAAGGCCTATGGAGTAACATACTTTGAACACAAGGCAAGGAGGTGACCTCACCCTAAAGATCTTCTTGAATCTCTTCAGAACGCCCTACAGGATACCGAGTAGGTCTAGTCAGTTGAACAGTGGAGTAATCCCTAAAGATCATCATAGTCATCTTCGTAGAAACGGAAAACGATTTACTGACAAAACTAGGAAACTCGCGTGCAAGTAGAATTTCCCTCTCCGTCTCCACATTCCCCTGGAATGCACCACCATATATTAAATCACCACTTCATCTCCCGATTGCTTAACAAAAAGATGGGTAATTACGCAGAAACACTTATTTTGCTTACGTAGTTGGAACATAGATGAGATTGGGGAAATGAAATGGTATCGAAACAGTCATTTATTTTTCTCTTTTCTATCGATTGGTAGTATGGTTATTACCATGAATCACCATACAAATTTTGTAGGGCTGCTGACTCATTTCCTCCCATTATGTTATTGCATTAGCCTTAGGAACCATCAAACTTATCGTTCTCACTTTTCAGTAACATTTTTTTCATTGTTTTCTCACTATTCTCACTCCTCTTTTGATCAGACCGAACAAGAGCATAGTGAAAAGGAAGTCAGGGGTACTGTCGACGCCTTTGTTACAGAATTTGTTATAAAACTCCTAAAAATTAGTCAGTAGATCACCACCCACTAGATTATCTAGAGCTACAATATTTGAATGACCGGGCCTAATGTATTATTTCTTATCAAAACGTTAGGACTGTCCTACAACACTAGGACGCCATTATAGAAAAAATTCAGTTAGTTAATATTATCACATAAAAAGATATTTCATAATATCCCTAGAGTAATGAACTGCATATCTACATCTGTGTGACCGTAGATCATACGATTCATGAACTGCTACGTCATAAAAGGAGAAGAACTTGAAAGAAGAAAATTCTTTCCGGTGATATCATCCTCCCAAGCTGTACAATGGCATTTGAATAGAATCAGTATTCACATTTAGCGATAAAAGGCTTCATTATTTATTCATCAACAATTTTTGGTCAATTGTGGATGGGAAAATAACAAAGAAATGAAATTTACTTCAAAAACATTGAAATATATGATAAAGGGAACGATCAAGTGTGAATGGAGATCAAGAAGTATCATAAAACAGCAGAATACATAACAAAGCAAATGAACACTTGTCAGTAAGAAAAGGAATACGAAATTATTAACTGAGTTAGTTAGTTAGCAGAATTGGTAGTTTGAAAACTAAGAAGGGAATAAAGAAAGTCGACGGAGAAGTTATTTCAGGCAAACCAATTTCTTTTTCGACTTTTGCATTACCAGAACCTCAGTGATACAGAGTAGGCGTTACCCAACTCCATTCGGAAGACCATGTTCTATTTTGTAGAAAATGGCAATGGAGTCTTTTGGAATTGTGTCCACTATCAACCAAATGCTGTAACATGGATCTGTTGACTTTTGCTGAGTCATGCTGTAAGGAGAATGACTCTGCATGGGGTCCGTATCCCTAGCCCCGCAGGAGCTCGAAGCGAATTAAAATAGTTAGTCATGACAAAAAATAAGTCTAGTAATCCTGAATTCCTTACCAACAGCAGACTTTTGGTCTATGGTAGACTTATTAACAATATCCCCCTCATTTAGGGGTAATAACATTTCATCATTGTTAAGGTAATATAAAAATGTTCAACCGCATGGTATTAGTAAAACCGAATTTCATAATTTAAACACACCACGCTTATATATATATATATATTTGGCATCAATCTTCATGCCCCGACAAGTTGCATTTTTACTGAAACTCTATTACCCACGTCTGACTGGTAATTTCCCTGTATTTTCTTAAAAAAGGTTTTATTTACCGTTGTCTGTTCACTCCTTCTGTACTTGTGATTTTTATTCATATTGGTTATCTTTTTTTCTTCAGTTAACTTGTGTAGAAATGTTTCTTAGCTGTTTAACTAGTTTCAGGAATTGCCTCGCTGAGTCTTGTTGATTATTCGTTGAAGCTGATTCAGCGTTGTTCTGACATGGAAGCGCCACAGTTAAAAGTTGTATTTATTACTATCATTATTTCGGTTATGATCGTCAGATACAGGAACATTAACGCTTAGCGCGTAACTTTGGCTACGGTCTAGCAATAACTGGATTAAATTAAACACTGACATTATGCTTTAATAATTAATGCATAGACCGATGAAATCATCCTGTATAGTAAAATGAATGTGCGGAAGTTCCTGAGAAACTTGTAGAAGAAACATTTGTTGAACAATCAAATAATCTGAAGTATGCATTACAAAGCGAATCTTCACACAGCTGACTTCAGATTCCACACATGTGGAAGTAATTAATGAATGATATCACCTCTTTCCAAGCGATAAAATTAAGATCATCTTTTAGCTCGTTAGCGCAATTGTAGGTTTTAATAGATCCGCGATATGAGATGATGCATTTCATTTGTATATACGATAGGCCCAGTATCCGTTGCTAGTAATTCCATTAACAACAACGTGTATCGAATAGACCAGAACACGAATTTTTGCAAACAATGTACTTCAATTGCACTTTGCCAACCAACCGAAAACCAAAAAGAGCGCGAAGTGTACAAGGCTTGAAAGAGGTGTGTCAAATGTTCTCCGCCATTCCTGATACAGATAAACATCTCAAAAGTGTACAATGACTTAAAGTTGAATAATATGTTCGAAGGGAACAAATTGAAGTTACTACAATCTCTTCTTACATCCACACCAGGTTCAGAAAGCAAATAAATCGAAACATCAGCAACCCAAGAGACAAATAATGCCTATAACTGAATGATGCCTATTCATTGAAAGAAAGGTATAATATGTTGTTCAGTTTGTGTCAATATTTCAGACTTCGTAAAAGGTTTATGATATAAAAAGGTGAAAATAATTCCTTAAACAAGTACTTTCAGAAAAGTTATAAAATGTAAGAAGTAAAGCTTAACATAGCTGTACAACATATTTTATTATCATTCTATCATAATAGTTTTTCTAAATGCGGATATTTAAATCGTAATCTACATGTAGCCGACTGAGATGAAGTACAACCTAGAAATGAATTGAGTCTTGGTAAACCATTGGGTCCGAATGCATATAGTAGGCCATGTGAGTTTCCTGAATTTTCTAGTCGTATAGCGGTTAGTGCTTCAATCAACCATCCTTCTGTAGTGTCTGATGAAGGTGGAACAGGACCATCATCCCAGATTAGATCGAAGTCACCTATGCGTTTCTCAGAACCTGTTAGACGACCCTCTACATCTACGATGTCAAGCATATCATCTAAAAGGTTGGTCTGAAAAATAAAACCATAAATACAGAAAATATCATGTTTTGTTAATCAATACAATAAAAGATCATTCGAAGAATAACCTAATTCTCACTAAATTTAGTCATAAATACACTATACTGTATTAACATCTCTCAGACGAGCAAAACTGACTTAGATGACTTGACGAAATCTCATAGTATTCTACTTAGTAAACTTAGTGGGTTATCTCAACTTTCTTTTCCAATGTGATTATTTGCCGAGTTGAAATTGTAATAAACAGGCAAAACAGAGACATTAGAAATACATTTTCATCGAGATCCACATTAAAATGCTATATGAGCATATTGAAAACGGAGTTCATGTCATTCAGATTGCGATTATACCTTATGATTTGAAGTTTTTTAAGTGCTCGGTTAATCAGGATGGTTGAAAAAGGATAGAAAGCGTTCTTGGATATTTATTGAATCTGGCTTGGAAAGAAGCTGAACAGTCTGAATTGATGAGCAAACAGTCACCGACATAGTTGGATATTCTAGGTATTGTCTCAATCGTTGTATTTGCTCACCTATGAATGTAAATGCTTCAATGAGGACACTTCCAAATCCTTCAAATTATCAGTGACAATTTCCTAAGGCTTATCGTGTTATCATATGTGTTAGACTTCCAACTTCTTTCAGTATTACAACAAAGTATGGCAGCAAACTGATATCCAGTTAAATGATACAAACAAAACCAACATTGCGAAAATAACTTGAACAATTTTCAAAAGCTATGTAAATATAAAACTGTATTACATCACAAACATTGGACAGAGTTGGTATACTGCAGATATTATTAGCCTACTCAACTTTTGATTTCTCTATAGATAACATCACCTTTGACGTATATATATATATATATATATATATATATATATATATATATATATATATATATATATATATATATATATATATATATAGCCAAAGAGATTTGACGGAAGCTATTTTTAAGCGGTAATTTCTCGATTTAGTTTATGATATATGTTAGCTCACATGGCTACGAAAAACTAGGGGCGTTGTAAAATCATGTAATGCAGAGATGTTTCGGATAAGGATTTGCTGGAATCCAACATTATTCAAACTGATTTAGCTTTGTGTTTGAAAAAATAATAGTAGAGTTATTTTTCTGAATCGTCTATGTAGATGTGAACTAGTTTGATCAAGATCTTTGAAATAGCGAAGATCCCATACCCATCACCTTATTTGTGATGTTCTAATTAGTATAAATCAGCTGTTTGTAACTTGTCTGGTTTCTTAAGTAAATGAATCTGGTACGTTATTCCTATTCAAGCTTAATTTAACTTACTTTGATGTTTCGCTATTCATTAATTCACTGTAGCAAATTTCCATTTCATTTTGTAGCTTGCTAAAGATTCCTGATACTATAGTTCTCTTTGAACAAACTTACTCTTATCTATATTGATCTTGGTGACTACCAGAGGAAACCAGTATGCACGTTTCATCCGATTTGGGACTCTTCAGCTAAATGTACCTGTACCTCAGTAAGTGACATTGTTCCCACTGAAACTGGAACGCAATACCCTTCACTTCAAATGCCAAGGTGTTATCCACTAAGCCACAGAGGCATGAGCAATTTGACCCTGTTTAACAACAGGAAATTACAAGTATCATTACCGTTATCTACTTTCTATTCAATTTTCACAAATGAACTGTAAAAACTTCAACGGATGTACATTTATATCACGTCTTATATTCGAAATATTTGCCTATTAATCTGCTTGATTTATCTTAAGACTTGTACAAATAACCTTTCATCTCCTAGATTTCAGCTACATTCCACTACTCAGTCATATCAAATATCATAGAAAGAGTGAATTAATCCAATACTAGAAAATAGTAAATTTACCTTCAGTGTATAATCTTCTTTAGATGAAGCTGTCAATGAAGGGCATGCATTAATTTCCAATAACCACGGTCTTAAATTATCATCAAGCAATATATCATATCCATAAAGTTCAAAGCAGCGTTTATCATTGATCATAATCTTTTGTACACTTAATAAACTTCCGATAAATATCATATCAATTTGATGAAACAACTCGGCAATCTGTAAAACGCATGAATTTTCAGTTAAATGACTGAAAAATTCATAAGAGTTAAATGTATCTCATATAAATGATCCATTGAAGAATCAGTATAAAAATTCAATGCTTATTAACATGTTACCTTCTGCTTAGCTTGAACCAAGTTTCTGATATCTTAGAGTTTTGTTACAATGTTACTTATTATGTTAAATAACTGCCGTATAAAATTAGATGCTTTTGTAACACAGAACAATAAGATTTTTGTACGGTTCTAGATTATTCTGTCTGTCCAGAAATTCAGTTTTAATAAAATGTTATTATTTAGAAATCCTCCTAGCAGTCATACTAAACAATATTTCAACTTATTAGGTATATTTCAAGCTTATGGTGTCGTGCACATGCCGGTGATTACCAGCACGATATCTATTCATGAATAAATTCTTTGTAAACCAGCCGTATGAAAAATAACTTAGTAATGACTACTTTCGAACCAAAGTTTTAAGAATTCCTTGGGAATGGGTTACTTTTTATCTCATTCAAGTTAGGTAATAGGATAAATATTAACTTATGACACTGAATGTTTATAACACCATATTGTGAGTTAACAGTGATCAAAAGCAGTAATCGATGTAATTCCATTTTAGCCTGTTTATCCGGGTTATTACACAGTGAAACATCATTATTAATCCTACCTTATCTCAGTTTAAATAGGCTTAGTTAAATACCTGAGTAATTTAACAAGAAAGCTTACTAAGAGAGCAGAAAATCTATGACAAGAAACTAGACGCATTAAGAATAAACTGCATCTCAATAATTACCAACCAAAATCCATCAATAAATCCATAAGAAATCAAAAGAAGAATATAAGCAGTAGGAGTAACACTGGTGCTGATAATCATGCTACTTATAATAATAATAATAAAAGTAGTAATAGTGATGATAGTGTGAACAGAGAAATCAAAGCCTTTACTGTGTGATTGTACAGAGTAGGCATATCGGAAGCGTTGTAAATACTTCCCAATAAGGTCGGGATTACAAGGACAAACTCGCTTAGAAACGATGCGTTGTAGTTTAAAAGATCCTATTGATTTAATCAGACAAAATTTAATTTACCGAATTCCTTCCAATGATTGCGAGGTCAAAGTAGTCGACTAAGGTCAATTAGAATAACAGAGCACAAAAACCTACTTAAATCTAGTTAAGTAAATCATGATAAGATAAGGAATTTAGAGACAAGCTCGTCTATAACTATGCACGCGTCTGCACACGACCACACAATAGGGTGGGATAGATCGACATTATCAAAAACTAACTTAGTTAAGTGGAGAGAAATAGATTGATGATCAAATCTTTGTTTATCGAATCAACACCAAATGCATGCAATAGAAATGATTTTTCACTTCCCCTAGATATATGAAAAACACTACTACATTTATCACATCAAAAGAGAGAGGATTAGAACTATATAAACCATGCCTCAAAGTTGTGAAGTTACCTACTGTGAATTTGGACAATAAATCATGTTCAAAACATTATCCCGTAAATAATACTGTTTTACTGTGTGATAAGTCTAGTAGACAGACTAAAGTGGGATTACAGTGTACAAGCTATATTACTGATTGATAGATTCTGAATCATTGGATGGGTGATGTTCTCTTATTGGAGTCAGTTTTTAATGAAAACTTTTCCAATCAACGGATTTCCTACAAACTATTAGATAAAACAGCACCTATTTTGCCATCGTTAGGGATGATTTGGACTGAAATTTTTTACACTACATCACAAGTCGGTTACAAAATCCGGTCTAGAATTTTAAGTTGACTGTATATTTCAGTTAAGTTCACTAAGTAAATCAATATGCATACTGTAACGGAAAATTGATCTGGAAATCCCTCCCGATCACCCTTATTTGATTGTATTGACATTTATTTTAACATTTTTACCCTTGTTATGGATGGTGTACCTTTGACCCTCTCCGGTGTAATGTTATTTGCTTGTTTAACTGTCTTATTTGACTTTACACTCGGTATTTGCCTTTGTATGTTTGAGACTTATTATGAGTGTTTCACTTTCCTATTATGTGACGCTGAACTGTTGATAAGGTGATGTTGTTTTACTGCGCACGACATTTTGTTTTGGTTCAACTTACTGTTGTGCAGTAATTTGACTGTTTGTCTTTTGACTGTCTACTGGGAACGTTTGTTTGTTGATTTGATTCCTGTAGGCAGAGTTTTGATCCCTTTTGTCGGGAATATTCCCTATTGACCGACAGGTATTTAACAGTTGTATTTTTTAACCAGTTTTTACCGTGTAGTACGTATTTGTACCCGAGAACGTTTTGGACTGTATAGTTACCCAACGGCACTGTTGAGGTATTTTTGTAATTTGACATAACTTATTGTTGCTTTGATAGTACCACAGATTTTGTTACGAATCCACTATTGAATTACTACAAACCGTGTTTTGATATTTCGATCCAACCTTTGACTGTGCGTCACTCGCGGAAGTTAGGAAGCTATACAGTAGAACGCAGGAACTAGTCAGATTCACGTCAGTTGGCACCGCCTAGTTATTTCCCGCGTTCAGGCCAAGATTATTGGATTCTGGCCGCTACACATACCACAACTACTGCTGCTATCAGTAATGGTAGTTAGCTCTACCTTACTGTGTGATTAAGAAACACATCTATGAAGTCTAGAAAATGAAAGAAGGTTTTTAGTGTTCCATCATAGTTGACTTCGCAGCATCATTGTAGTAACGAAGAGGTCATGAATTGTCATCATCTCGAATGGCTGGGACATATGTTACTCATTGCCTAGTCAGTATCCTCCCCGATTTGCAATGTTAGCAAAGGCAGGTTTAGTCTTGGAAAGGGTTAAATTCAATCTGAATTTATATAGCATCAGTTCGTAGTCTCTGGCTATTGGTATGAGCTGTGTAGAGTAATAAACTTCCAGATTAAGGTCAGCTTGACAATAGAAATTGATGGTTTGAGGCTTTAAATGATATGCATCAGAATGTATCGTAGTGGCAAAGATGCATCCACCAATTACCCTAATCACATGAGTCATATTGCAGTTCGCTATTGTTTTACTTTCTCCTTCTCCTATCTTACTTCTTTCTACGAATTTTGATCATATTTTTGTTTGTCTTCACCTCAATATTCCATCTTCTTGTCTCGTGTTTTGGTGTTTGAGATAAGCTATGAAACACTAATTATGCAGTATTGGCAGGTCCTAGGTTGATATTAACGGACTAGTTGACTAACTGGGTATAAGGCGAATGATCGATCGATTTTAACTTTAGATATGCCAAAAATGTTGTGGCTTACCAGTGAGAACATTGATAAGCACCTTTACACTAGTTGAAAATATTTGTAAATTGAAAACAAGGTAAGTCCTTTTCCTTATAATTGGAAACAGTTTGAATGATATAATTAAAAGATGTTGTTTATCACAAAAATGTGATAAATTTATGCCATACATTTAAAGCAGTCTAATCACACATTTATTTCTTAAGAAATTTCTAAGTTAAATAGAACAGAAAGATAAACTTCCAGTATATAATGATGTTTGCCAATACAGTACATATACCAAACAAATTAGGAAAGGAAAAAAATGGTGATATGGTAAAGGGATTAGACAAATACTACCAGGGTAGGTTTAGACGAAGGACAAACTATTTCTGAATACATAAGGGGAGCTTAAATATGTGTATGGTTAATACTTCAGCAAACCTGAGTATACACCCTTGAAAATCCTTATACAAAGTTGTAAAGGGTGTTTTAATAACAATCCTGTCACCTTTGTCAATTATTTGTTTTGCAAGAAAACAGATAATTGTCTGCCACATTCACTAACTGATGTTTGTGAATCCAGCTGCATGTCCCATCAACCTCACAAATGTGAGCTGACAAACGCAGCGTAATTTGATGCAATAGTTTAAAAAATGATGAAGCATACGCTGTGGCATGTGTTTGCTTGTCTCATTACGATAAGCTTAGCTCTATATTACCTTTTGGTGATGGCGAACCATGCCTTTCATTTTAGAATTGTGCTACAAGATTCCTGTCTGTGAGGTAGAGTGATTGAAATACTTTTCTGTTAGACGCAAGACAGAAATGTTCTCAAAGTTAAGTGATTTCTAAAACAGTTTTGGAATCTAATGATGAAGATCCATCTCCTATTATTGTCTCAGTTAATGTCCTGATGTCATCATCCATTAAATCTGCTGTACAAGTGATTTGGGTCCAATTAAATAGACGTATTTTACCAACCATCGGTTATATCACGTTAGGCAAAAGCTATAGAAAATTAACTACTGTCCTTTTTGACTCAATTTCCTGTAAATCGAAAGTGTTACTGAACCGATGATCCTGGATGATATTCTAGCACGATGGGTATTTATTATCTTCCTATTCACATGTTCAAAGGGTATGGCATTTTATAGTGTAAAATTTTCCTAACAAACAGGTTGCATCTTCATGCTTGGCATATACTAGGGTTACATTGTTAACAAATCTCTCATAAAGAGTAACTTTACTAATAACACCTGCTGGTTAGACTCTCAATATATGACTATAAACATCAGTTATCAATGGTCATTACGGACTCCTCATCAGCATGACATAGATTTGTCGAAAATGACCCCCTACGAGTGTGAAATGGAATTTACCAATCCCTTCTAATAGCAGATCATTCAGATACACCTAAGGGGTAGGATAATAGAAATACAGCCACATAGAATGGCAGTGGCACTGGAGAAAATTTGTAGTCCATGATAAGTAGGATAATTTCTTGGTGCTGTCACAACTGTGAGGTTTGTTCTTCAATGAGTTATCACCAGGCTGAGGGAATTCACCAGTATTTACCCCATAAAGAATTCTTTACCGTTTATGTTTTCTTCCCTTTTTTAGCTGGTTTAGAGAGCTTGGGCAGTTTGTTTCTCAGTTTACTCTTATTTTTCACCCCAAGATTTCGATGTTTTACTTATGGCTCATCACATGGTTCATCATATGCGTTCGTAGATCTGGTTCCGGTATTTTCTGTAGAGTAGTGATTATCCTAGTGGATTTCTGGGGTTTTGCTATTTGCATCCAATGTCATTAGTCGCACCATTTTTCTTCCATTCTGTTCAGTGGTCTTTCATCCAGAGGGACAGTTGATAGATGATTCATATTTATCACTAAGTGGCAAGATAAGCTTCGGCAAGCATCTTTGTAAGAAGAAAAGATGTTCTTGCGAGGAAACACTCAGATCAGCAAAGTTCGCCTATTTCCGGCGTAAAAGAAGCATAATGGGCTTAAAATTTTTTGAGACAGTGGGGAAAATCTGTAACTTAGGATGACGTTGATAACTGTTTGGTGTTCTCTTAGCTTTAGGGTTGGTTCTTTTAGGTTTCATTCCCAGGTTGGGTGACTTCATCAGTAGTCACTTTATTGCCTGGTGATGATACGTTAAAGAACAAACCTCGAAGCTGGGAGAAAATCAAACAATTCTTAATGGTAATGTTCTTGGTTAGAGGTACGTTAGTATACTAGAATTTGACATCATAGGAAGACAAAGTCTTGTGTTTGATAGTAAAAATATCACTAGAAACTTAGAACTGGAGACAATCCTTCAATCATGAATGAAATTCTCGTTCAACCATGAAAAATGAAATTTTCAATGTATGATTAGTGCAGTCTAGTCCACTGGTATATCTTCAAATAGATGCGAACTTTTTAAATAAATCCAAAGAGCTTTGTAAAAACGCGGTAAGAATCTTAACTGTTGTAGTTGAAGATCTATTCTGGGAAGCATGATTGTTAAGTTTAATAGAACGTCTCTATGTTAGTATCAAATTCTTATTCAGTTTAACTTGATTATTATCTAAATAAAACAGTCAAAAATCACTTTCACATATGTTAGTTTTTCATAAATGTTGAAATTTTGTGATTGGATACTGTTTGGAGAATTGATTGAGTGATCAATGAAAATCATATTGTTAAATTTTCTTTGCATTATTTTATATACATATGTATATAAAGAAATGAGAAACAAGAGATCAATATAGTTGAAAATTATTCTCAATAAATATAAAGCTTACTTTATCATATCCATACTGAGCTAAAAGTTGTCGACGTAAACGACCGATTGACCATTTACAACCTTTCTCAGCATCATAATCAGGTGCAGTCTTTTGCACAGCAATATTCGTTAAATGTATATCTACATGACCATAGATTTGCTAAGAATTAATTCATGATAGCCAAAGAATATTGGAGTTTGACTCATAGACTTTCCAAATTTTTTTTAAAAAAGGTTGATTTTCAGTAAGTTGTGTAGAATATACTACTGACTGACATGAGTAGTTATAAACCACCCACTTCGATCAACAGTGCTCACTAAGCTAGATTAAGATTATCTGAACAACTTTTAAGCACCTGATCTCATTAAATTTTTTTATCAGTTGAAGAAAGAGTGAAAGTTAGAAAGGACTGGACGGTTGTTTCTATCCACCTCGGAGCTCTTCAACAGTCCACACTCTTGACCATATGAGAGACCAGGATGGATATCTTTCACATATAAAATTAATTCTTGACTTGTGAAGTCAACCAAATCAAGTGTGAGAGTGTATACTCGTTTGTAAAAATAGGATGAGGATCTAGCTGTATCGCGAGTTAACAGAAGAAACAAAAAATGAATTATCTAGTTCCGACTTAGTGGTTGAATAGTAAAGTGCTGGGCAAAAATATGACTATCTTGGTCGTGTTGAGTTCTCCGGGTTGAGTAGTAAAGCTTTCAATGTCTTTGTAAACGCAGTTATGAGCACTGGCTTCAGTATGAAGCTTTTGACATCATTTGTAGATACTTGTAGTTCTCTATTGGCAGTTATGACAATCAATATTCAGACACTCCCGGGGCATCCTCATATGACCTCATATACCAACAGATGTCGATCAGTTAGATCCAGTAAAACAACGTGGAATTACAGGTACCAATAAGTAATAATAATAACTGGTACCTCTTTTACAAGAGGTGGCTATGTGCCCTAGTGGTCTAGTAGATAACGCTTTAACGTTTAAAGCGATGGGTATGAGGTCCTAGTATCAGTGAGGACAACACTCATTGGGATGCAGATACATTTAGCTGAGGATTCCTAAATAAGACGAAACCCGTATCCCGGATTTCATCCCCACCCACACCCAAGTCAGCTTTCATAATGCTACGGCGAAAAACCATCACTCTGAGCTTACACATTTGATATATTCTTGTTTCCAGTTGACTGACCTTCAAACTAGCGGAAATATTTTGAAATTCACGTTGACTAATGAATCCAGTTACCTGAGTGCAACAAAGGTGGGCCATTTTGCCTGCTATTTTTACTTGAACCGATTTCGATACATTATTCTCATAGACTTTTATAAAGTTAAGTTAAATAACGTGATCGGCTCAATGTTCAAGTGTTCCATTGCTGTTTGTTTTACAGATTAACTTTGAACATGTCACCCGGTTTTAATATCTTGTCTCTAACTTCCTTAAAGTTGACTCCTAATATCATCACTTATCCGGGGCGGTTAGTTCAACAAAAGATGAACGTATTTGTTGAGACTTCCAGAATTCAAACCGCCGTCTGGTAATCTACCAGCTAACAAAGTGGTTCCAAATTTACCATAATAACTTCAATCTATGATTATGCAAAGACAAATTTCCTGTCTCGAAGATGTCATATCACTATAGTTTTATGACTCATAATGTATAGACCCTAAGTTCTGAACCTTTACAAGTCAGACATGTAATCAGACAAATGGAAGACTATTGAAGCATGAATATTATCACGACAGTGGTTTCATATTAACCCCAATCCTTTATGCCTAGATACATTTGCCAGTAAAAAGGTATTCTGGAAAGTTTGATATCTGATAATTTAATTAGTTGTGGCTGGCAGAGGAATCCAGAACGCGCGTTTTGTCTTATTTAGGTCCCATAAGTTAGATGTACCTGTACCCCAATGAGTGATGTTGTTCCCACTGAGACTCGAACCTCCTACACATCGATTCAAACACCAAAGCGTCATCAACTAGACAACTGAGACACGGGAGATGCTTGTTGTACAACGGGTATTGGTTATAACTATTTGTTGGTATACATGTATTTCTTCTCAGTTCTCAGCAAAATGTTTAAAGTCATTTAGTCAATTAGTTCTTAGATAAGTAAATTGTGATAGACGTAAATACTTCACATTGTCTTTTACTTGGATCCACAGAAACATGCATATCACTATCTTATCATAAAATCTAACTACAGCTGTAAAAATTACAACTAACAAGGTTAGTGGTCAAGAAGATAAATGTATAAAAATAAGTGGTTATTTCAAGTTGTTATTCATCGTAGACTGACATCAGTTAGAGGAACAAAGGAAACCTGGGAGCACTGGACAGCTGCTTCGTCCTAGTATGGGACTCTCCAGCAGTGCGCACCCACGACCCCACCAGCAGGGATCGAACCCGCGACCTTCAGGTTCCGCGGCCAGCGCGTTACCACTGAGCCACTGGGTCAGAATCCAATGCTCCATATTTCCAACTTCTGTTAGTTCACGATATATAGCGCAACCGTCACCCAATGTCATCGCTGAGTATTTGTCTTCAGGCCATCAGGCACTACTGAGGAGTCCCATACTAGGACGAAACAGCTGTCCAGTGCTCCCAGGTTTCCTTTGTTCCTCCAACTGATGTCAGTCTACGATGAATAACAAGTTGAAATAATTCCAAATCTCCACAACTCCCTCAAGAAATGGTTAATTTCAAAGGATACATTGATCATCTATAGAATCCAGTGAAAAACGGGTATTTGAAAAGCGAGCGAATCCATCTCTATAAACCCATACCTTCATTGGATTAAACTATAAGATTCCGTTTGAATAATTAACAAAAAAAAAAAATGTTTCATTTATTTCTTACTGATGTGACTAAAACATAAACACGTAAATCAAATTTACGTCCACATAATAAGTAAGGATTTGTTATATATCGAGAGACAACATATGTTTCAGGTAGTTCACGATTCATTGAATCACCAATAAATTGTTGTTCACATTTCTTAATCAGAATAAATATGTTTAAGTATAAAGTTTAATTTACCATTCCTACACGTTTCCATGCTTCAATGTCTTTTAATTTACGAAAAAGAAATATTCCTTTGCCTTGTGATTTAGCTACCGGTTTCATAATCCATATTGAACCAGGACATTTACGAAATTCTTCAATGAACATATGATATTCCATCTTAAAATAAATAAATAAATTATTAATACTATATCTTACAGGAAGTTCAAATGTTGTCGGAAAGAAATCTATTCTAGAAAAATTTTGATTTCATGAATGTTATTGTATTGTTCATCACTTTTGTCCTTCTTGTTTACCATATTCTTTTTCCCATTTACGTTTTAAACGTTTCAAATTCTTAACCATCAGATTTTTACGCGTTAACTAATAAAAAGAAAAGAAAAAAGAGGCGTAATTTTTTAAAATAAGTGTCGAGAAGCAACTGATAAAACTTCTTGGCAATAAATTCCTTACTGATTGACACTAATCATGAGTCATTTCTAACACTGTGTAAACTCAAGTTTCAATACACAGAGTAACAATTCATTCATTGCTTGATCTCTACTTTATGGAGTATTTCCATAATTTCATTTGTAAACAGTTACCGGCGTAATACACCTTTGCTCTAGGATGAACGAAACCTATGATAATTTGTATTCGATGTTATGGGACTTTAGGTAGTTTGTTAAAGATTGGGGACCTAGGTTAAGCCTCATGAGAAGCTAAATGAGAGCTATATGACGAAAGATTGCTTTGAAGAAATATTTTGTTGAAAATTAGTGTTTGTAATAACTGTGATAAGCTAATCCAATTTGTATAATAATGATGGGCAATGGCTATCAGTGGAATCCAGAATGCTCATTTCGCCCTATTTGAGACCCATCAGCTGGATGTACCTGCCTCCCAGTGAGTGGTGTTGTTCTCATCGGGACTATACACAATTAAAACACAGACAATATTGAGGCATCCGCATGGGGGCCCATATGCCAACAGAGACTGATCAATTCCCTCCAATTAACGACGGTGTCATACAAGCAATGACACTAAAACTATACCCGTCGCACAAAAAAGGGCTATCGTGGCTCGGTGGTGTAGTGGATAACGCTGTCGCGTTTGAAGCGGTCGCTCCCGAGTCCGAATCTCGGTGAAAACAACATCACTCACTGAGAGACAGGTACATCCAGCCGACGAGTCCCAGTTAGGACAAAATGCGCATCCTGAATTCAACTGCTAGCCACTGCCCTCATTACTATACATAGTTAAAAGACAGGCGATATCGAGGCATCCGCACAGGAGCCCATATGCCAACAGAGACTGATCAATTCGGTCCAATCAACGACGGTGTCATACAAGCAGTAACACTAATACAGCTTATATCACATAATTTAACTAATAACTGTAAATCCAACTAAAAGTTCTGTTGTGAGATTGTAACATTTTACGCTCCTTAATGTCTGATTACAGAAGCATTTTCCAACGCTTTCCAACACTTATTAATCACTGACTAGATCGAATAAAAAAATTTACAGCCTTTTTTACGAGCAATCTCTTTTTATATTACCAGTTATCACGTTCATACATTTGAATAACATGTCTACCAACGGACAATAAATCACAAATATCCATTAATGATATTCAGACTACAAAGTAAGAAGTATACTCTACAGTTAATTGACTACTACTTTTTAGACACGAATTATGATCTACAAGTCAACAGGCAATAAGAAAGTTTGTAAAAATTACTACAAAACAACCCTATAAAATAGCATCCAGGTAAATTTTTTTTTCAGACAAAATCAATGATCAGTTGAAGCATACTTAGCAAAATCTTGTATTTTCCCTTCATTGGTCCGTTATGAGAATATTTATTTGGGAAAACAGTAATCTGAGAAACATTTAACAAACTAGTCTACAGTCATTCAATAAACTGCATACAACTCCTACTGAAGTCAGTCAATTTAACATATATTGATATTAACTAGTTGGCTACATCAGTGATGAAAGACAATGTCAATACTCGCCATAAAATTGAACTGAGTTTATCTTGTGGACATGAATTTAGAAAATCTAACCAGATATCTGAAAACAAAATGGTCTGAGTTGAAAATGATAAAGCTAGATGAGATACTATAATTAAATTTTATCATGATATCCTTTAGTAGCAGGAAAGTACAGATCATAGTATTTAGTCAATCTGACTCCATAAATGGTATTGAGAAGGTGAACATTCATGGTTTGAGAGTATTTAGGTCGATAGACAATGGAAACTAACCATCTCAAGGTGACCTAGTCATCAGATGAGCATTCCATTTTTTTGTGGTCTAAGTAAGCAGCACGAATTCTGAGGGTTTGAATGATTTAACTCTGTCAATGGAACCAGTTAAAGCCTATCTTTAGAGCGATCGATCTCAATTGGTCAAAATAGTTGCATGATGTATAGAATACCTGGATCTATGTAATATTGTCCTTTATCTGTTTGTTTCCAATTTCACCTGGTCTTTTATAAAATTCTTTTGTTTTACTTTTCATTCTGTCACTTTTTTCACTGTGTGGTATTTTATGTAGATCTCTAAGACAAATAAATTAATACCGTAAAAGTCTAAACTCTGTAGGCAAACAGCCTAAATAATTTCATATTAATTATCATCTAAACTTCTAGTATTTTGAACTATTCATTGACTTAGTTGGTTTGAAAATGTGTCAGGCTACCGCCTCTTTCTATTCACAAAGTAAATCAAAGTAGAATTAAGCTGAAAGAAGATCATAGGAAGACGTAACACTAGTGTGTGAAGTTTTTGACTGACGGTATTAATCGTTGGGGAGGTGCAAATCGCCTTTAGATGGCAGGACTAATAGTTAGAGACTTTTGGAAGTGTGGACCAAATTGATTGAAGTGGCACTGATGTCTACACATTTTGTCATCTTCGAATTACGAAACATTTTGATTGACATTCATCCGTTTATTCTGTCACCTGTCATATACTTTTGCCCACTTAATATCACCCTTTTCTAGCTGCTTGTTCTTTATCTTCCATAATGAAGTATACAGACTTGAACTGGTGCACTCTTTTTTCGGGTTCTAAGCAGATCACGCGGTCTAACTGCTTTCATCTCTTATGCAGTCTTTCGCTGTATAAAACAAATCAGCTCCTACACAGTTGTAAATACAGAAATTATAACTCATACCGGGAAGTTTTGGTAAGAAGAACTAATTCATTATCAAAGTATAAGAAGCATTGGTTTATTGTAATACTTTTCCTTGTTGGCTTCTTAAAGAAAGTTCATCTTTCAACTTATATATATTGAAAATAGGGATGTTGACCAAAAAGTTGTATTTTTCAGCAATTACGCAATCATTTTCATGCAACAACTTAATAGGTAATGCTGTTATACTCAAAACTATGACTATTCGATTTAAGTTGCAATGAGAAAAGTAACTGAGCTTTAGCGTAATTGTAGTCTTGAATGACCGATTTGTAAATTATCTACAAATTGCGCTGTCCAAACTGATATTTCTCACGATTAAACAGCTAATTTACCAACTCATCGACAGTGGTGTCAACGGGGTTCCTGCTGAAAGTTACCCAGCTGAGACCAAATCATATAGTCTCTGACGTAAACGTGTTATGTACTAAGGGGATATTCTACTGAACAAATAAGTAGTTAAAAACTACTAACTCTGGTATACAGATTTCAGCTGATGTGAACTGAGTTCGCATTAGTGCAACGAGAACAGACTAAGCCTAGAATAAACGAATAGATTTTCAGGTGTTCACACGATTCTAATCTGGCTGGCAAAGTTTACGAACTAGCATGAACAGTTTCTGGCAAGTCATATCGTTCGGTAATATATTTCGTTAGAAATGTTTCTGTGCACAAAGTACTTCCTATTTGCTTATATTATATATTTATCATTATTTGAAAGTTACTTTCACTAATTCAAATTCGCTTACAGGACCTATTTTGATTTCCCAAATAGGAATTCTTCACCTTTTTTCTCTGAGGCGTTTCATGCTGATGTAAATTGTCAATTTTCAGAAGTCATACATTTGCAAGAATTACTCTGATCCGATTCACGAATTTATGGTAATTAAACTAAAAAAGTATAACTCTTGAGTTTTGGTTTTTTTGAAATAAAAGTAAACCAATAATAAATGCCACAGAGGATGTTTTTTTATCAACTTTGTAAATCATTAGACTTACAGTCATTTATTGGTTTCAAGTTGATGTTCATAGTGGACTGATATCACTTGGGGAACCGTAGAAAACCAGGACACACTAGTTGACTGTTTCATCCTAGTATGTAACTCCTCAGTTGTTCACACCCATGACTTTGTCAGAGATCGGACGAAAGACCTTCACTTTCAAGCAGGTGGGTGTGCACTGGTGAGCAGTTCCATACTAGGACGAAACCGCTGTCTAGTGTTCTCAGGTTTTCAATGGTTCCCCGAGTGATGTCTGTCTGGGATCAATGCTAACTTGAATTCATTAAGATATAGCTGAAATATTGTTTTCTAACTCTCAGTTTAGAGAAAATTAGCACATTAAAGTTCTTAAGTGTGGGGGTTATCTTAATAGTTGTCTTTCTCGAGACTTTTATAAACATTTTCTGAATCTGTTGGCGTTTTAACACTCAATAGTGTATTATGAGTTGTTCAAACAAGAATTAATTTGATACCCACTTGTTATTTCAGATACTGAGTAACAGTCCAAGTTACCACACTTCATATCAGTAAATCAAGGAGGAAAGCATTGATAGAGAGATAGAAAAATAGGAAAGAATAATTAAGAATATTAGAAAATTATCAGAAGAAAATAGTGGAAGACAAAAAGATAACCAAGAGTGATGTGATGATGTCCATGTACATTTTTACCATTAAAATTGATGCTGAGCTATTTCACCCATAGTTTCTAACTACGAATACCAACTCAGAAGTCGACATTTTTCTTCTTGGTTTAACTTGACAGTTACAGAATTCATGTACCGATGTGAGGCTCCAGCGTAACTTCCTTTAACCTTTTTCCAGCTTCATCCTGCCTCATCTACTACTGTGCATTGAGGTACATAATGACCGAACATACTTGCCACACATTTCATCCAGCAACCTGAGTCAGTGACGGTTGACGACCTTATCAACTGAGTCACATCTCCTGTCCAGGACTTTTCGTCTAACCTGAACATTAACAAAGTGATGATCTTATTTTGTCCTCAGCAGAAATTACCTCTTGAAGGGGAAATTTACAATTTTAACAACTATTTAAGTATTGTCGTTTATTGCTGTGTTTGTAATTTGCCATTGTTTTACTGGATCCCATAATTCCTCTGATAGCCACAACGAAATAGATTATCATAATGAGTATTCAGGCAATATCGAGGCACTCACAAACAGAAGTCGAGCAATTCAGTCCAGTAAAACAACGGAGAATTACAAACATATCAACCTGTTGTACAACAGGTGGCTATCATCATTCAGTAACCTAGTGGATAAAGCTTTGACGTTTGAAGCAATGGGTAAGAGTTTCGAGTCTCAGTGGGAACAACATCACTCAGCTGGTGGGTCCCAATAAGACGAAACTTACGTGCTGGATTCCTCTTCTATCCATGACTAAACAAGTTACTTAAGTACTTAAGCAAATTTAAGCACTTCCAGGTTCTGTATGAAAGAAAACACGGTGATCAAAACAAGTCTTACACGTTATGCTAATACTTTGAACTTCTATAAAATATTTGCTAAAAAAATACTTTTTAAGATACGATTAGTTTTAAACATCTTGCAGATTCGAATTAACTCATGAAACGAAACGAAACGTTTTCTTCGAAGACATGAAGAAAAGGACAAAGTACTGCTTTATTTTCAGTTGAATATGATAAATGCTAGGTATTGTTAACGTTTTATATTAAACGAAAGGTTTGAAGGGAAAACGTTTATTCAGAAAGCCTAGAATTTAACCACTGATGGCGTGAGATCACTTTGAGACATTAAGTAAAATATGATTACCATAAAGTACTTATACGACCTCATTCTTACTGTCAATCAACAAAATATCAAAACATCTCTCATTTGACTAGACAAATCCTGAAATTCTATTAGAACTCATATGCAAAAAGAAAATCGCACTTCAACATACTTCGAAATGATTCCGAAAATGGCATATCTTCGATATATTTCCCATTGATCCATGATCAAATAAGTCTTTCATAGCCATAGGATCACACCAGTAGAAATCACACTCATCTTCTCTATAAAGGAATGGAAATGAAGTATCAGAGAACTCGTTTTTTATTTAATTTCATAATTTAAATCATTAAAGTAGGTCTGTTTGTATTCCATTGAAACAAAGAAATAAGGCTTTACTTATTTGGTGTTGAAAGTAGTTTAGGAAATAATCAAAATGAAGTCGGTTTGACTAATATGATCGCTTAGAGTTTTCCATTTACAACCTTTCCTTCTAAAAGTGTTCTAGATGGCCTGATAGAGAAGAGAAGTATGTTCATCCAGATTCTTGTAGAGTTTAGCTGTAGACGCAAATACGAACGAAGCTACTTTTATTCGAAATTGATAGCTTTGCAGCAGTCTCATGCAGTATATATATATATATATATATATATATATATATATATATATATATATATTGCTTAACGCCTCAAGGTGCCACACCTTATATCAACACATCAAGCAACCAGGCAATAAAATGAAAGATGAGGAAGGGGACAGAAATCAGTCAAAAGAAGTAGAGAGTAGTAGAAGAGAGGAAAGAGGAATGAGAAAATAATGAGATTAAGTATCGCGTTAAGCATCTACGCCACTGTCATCACCTCTGGACCATATCATCTAGAGTCTCTAACCACTAGTTCATCTTGTCCTGTAGAGCCCGATCGGCTAGTCCGCACCACCCTACAAGAATCAGACGGACAATCGAGGACTTCATGCATCGATGCCACGTTATAGACTGGCTACCGCGAGCTTTTCGCCAGCCTGAACCTACTTTGGTAACAAACGCTGGGTAGGCATACGTAACACATGTCCTAGCCATCTCAGTCGATGAAGGTTCACAGCGACATCAACTGACTTACCTCTACTACCTACAACTGTACACCTGGAACAAACTGTGCACGCTCACCAAAAGTTCTAAACAGATCCCATTGCACACCTTATTGAATGAAATCGCGAAAAAATTGTCTTCGCGGAACCACATGTTTTTAAATACTTTTATGGGATTTCCTGAGAATCAAAATTAAAATCCCATTGAAATTATATAGATGAATGGACACCTGTTGAGTGAGGAAACAAGTAAAATTTGAATCGCTTACATAGACACCTTGTGAAGGAAAAAACGATTTTAAGATAACGGATAGTGAGAACATTCAAGACTTAGAAGATGCGAAGGACTGAATACATCCGAACGACTACCACCAGTTTTCAGCCAGGTCACTGACATTCCTCAACCACCAATACCTAGAGTCTCGAAGACCCCAGCCAGGAAGCCTACACCTCTACGCATGGCTCAGACTAGCAGTAAAAGACTTCATCGACTAGTCCCAGGTCTTGGTCTGGCCACCCTCAGACCTCTTTCAAACCAATCCAGTTCCCCTAGCACTCCTCGTCGAGGTAGGCTGTGACGACATGAGGAGTACGTGTACAAGCAATCTCAGTCAAAGAAAATTCACAACCTCACCAACCGACTTCCGTGTCTTGCCTAATACCCTTCACCTGACCTCAACATTACTCATACGATGACTCCACCAACGCGGGAAATGTTACGAGGACGTCTTTGACCAAAACTCAGTGGTCATTTCGTGTCTTCTACTCTTAACGCCCATGTCTCACAGCTGTACAACACGACAGAATGAACTTCAGCGCAGTATAGTCGTCCTACTTCCTCTACTCCCGTTATATGGCAGTGAATTACAGCAGATGTTCAACTTTTCGGTGCTGTTATTCTCCGATGATGCAAATATTTGAAGATTTATACGTAGTGTTGCTGACAGATATGAACTTCAAGAGGATTTGGACGGCCTTGTGGGTTGGTTCAAATGTTGGTGCATGGAAATTAACTCTAGTAAAAGTGCAATAATGCACACTGATCCTTACAACTGTTTCCCTATATTTCGTTGTTGGTACATCACTACTCCCAGGCTTTGGATTGAAAAACTTGGATTTTGTCATAAGTCATGATTTGAAAATCTCAACCCACTGTAATGCAGCCTCATTAAAGGGCTTCTGTGTATTGTGGTTTAGAATTCTTGATCAAGACATGTTCAGAATACTGTAGTCTACTTACGCTAAAACTCACTTGGAATACTGCATTTAGACGGCCGCCCGATGCCTAAAAACAGATGCTGATGTACTTGAGCGGGTTTGAAGGGTAGTCGCTAAACTTTGGACAGGCCTTTTGGATCCATCGTATGACGAACGACTAGATCGGTTAACCATATTCCCACTGTCCTAGCATAGAAAACAGGGTGATCTAACGCTGGCATTCGGTATCCTGGATAATAATCTTGGTACCGATGTGTCTTGTCTTTTCTCTCCTTCTACGATTGATTATCTCAAAAGGCATCACAAGAAAATGTAAAAACTCCGTTCGAATCAACTTATCGTGAATATACGTTTCTTGCATTCTGTGGTTAGCGACTGAAACTTTTTACCTCATCAAGCAGTATCTTAGGTATCTTCAATTAACGCGCCTCAAGAGGAATTAGATCTCAAAGTTACTGTCTGTCAAGATTACCACAGGTCAACAAGCCTACTATCCTATTACTGAAAACAGAAAACAAAATCCACCTTGAACCAAAAGTAATATAGGTTACTTGATGACAGTCACAGGTAGATGGATGGAACGACAGTGAAATAAACGAATTACTACTTCTGTGTCATCGTGACCGTTCAGACAGCCACCGTTCTCCTAGTATTCATGAAGGTAGAAAACGGCGACGGAACACACGCGTTATGAATAATATCTTTAAGGGTTTATAAATTCCCATCATATAAATTAGAACAAGATATATAAGCGAACAATATTGTTTTCAGTTATCTCCTCTTCAGGCTTGGTATATATATATATATATATATATATATATATATATATATATATAAGTAAACTAATCGTGTGAATTTGTTGGTCCATCAAGCTATTTGTATTAGAGTAAAGCCTGAAGAGAATCTCTTTGAAAACCATATTAATACTGTTTTCAAATAGATCAATATATATTGTTCGCTTATATATCCTATTCCAAAAATAATATCGCATTGCGATACGAAAAATAATCACCATAACCGGAAAATACAACGAAGTGCATAAATTACCTGAGAACCTCAGTCCATCCTCTGTTCTTCAAAACGTCTAGGATGGTATTATTCATAGTGCACTTGAATTTTATAACTCTGTGAAAATATAAGTATCTAGGAGAACTCACTGCGCTTTTGCTTTCTTATCCACAGGGTTCCTTACACTCTAAATTAGTGCAGTTATGTCAGTAATTATTTGAGGTTACTCACAGATTTCATTTGCTTGGCCATCCCAACAACTCTACAGCAATGTCATGACAACGACTTTGAGGCTTTGAGCGTTCAAAGCAGTTAAACAAATACTGCGATAAAGATGTAGAACAAAATTATTAAACTCTATACAACATCCACTTAAAAAATAGATTGTTGGTAATTTATAAATTGAACTCGAAAGAATGATAAACTGCTCAATGTTTTGAGATTCTATCAGACTTCTTTTATGTTTGTTTCAGAATGAGTTTTCAAAACCTTTCAAGATGATCTCGAGACTTTCCCCCTTAAAACTGGTTTCCCTCCATCAGTTGACATGTAACTCCCCTCCTTTTCTTCGAGGGATGGGTTAAACAGTCTGTAATAGCTGATTCCTCCCTGACAGGAATTACCTTGTAGGTTCACGATACGCCACCTCTAAGGACCTTTCTCGGTTGAAATCACTGCAAAAGAGTGGATGGTTACAACAAAGCACCAACGGCGATGCAGCGTGCTACTTCAAGGTTGGCACATTCGAAGGTATTGCTAGAGGTCGTCTATCTGTTTACTGAATTTTTAAATGTGACTTGTGATCTGCAGTAGCATGTTCTCACACAAATGAGTCATTGGCTCTACATGTCTATAGCACAAACAACCATTCATGTTATACCTATAGATAACGCTAATCGAAAAACTGCGAAGTTTTGTCATGAACAGTTGCATATTTGACGTAGCTTAATATACGTCAGGTCAGAAAATCGTCTTAGGCAGAAGTGATCGTTTTGGGAGACTTGTAATTTCTCCCTCCCCCACACTGCTATGCAAGTCGTTCACTATTACTGGTGTACATTCATGACGCTTCCAAATAACCCCTACTAAGTGAAAAACATTAAAAACCTCTCCTTTGTTTAGTGTTTTACCCTATGAACACCCAAGCAGAAGGGCTACTTTGTTTCTAAGTTATATAGCACAATGAGGGAGCCACGAGGTTGTTAGAACCAAGACAAACTGTTAATAAGTTGGCACACTCTTGATCATATTTCACTTGGCGCTGTTTTATGAGAAATTCAACGATGGGTATGCAGTAGGTTGAATTCGATGTGCACTGCTCCGAGGAAACTGTTTTTATTCTGTATCACAGCTCTTTCTGTTTTGCGTTGTTTAGCATCACTTGTCAATCAGGATTTCAGATTCACACACAAGAGCTGCAGAGCAAACAAGCCCTCTCCATTTTCATCTAATGGTTTATGCTGTTCTCAAAACTCAGGATTTCGTACTGATGACTAATGATGCGCCTGTCTTGAACATGAAGGTAGGTGAATAAACCATGAGGAATATGTGCATGAAGCAGCTTCTCAACAGGAATGAAGTTGAATTTTAAGTTGATTATTACGCTATAATTTGCCCTAAAATGGTTTTCCTGACATACGGTGATTTCTCTTAGTCTATATTAGAATGCATACTTCACAGAATGTCTCCCTCCTGATAAGATGTCCTAGGTTTTACATAGCTGGTTGTCGTTTGCAAAAGTTCTTGGGCATTTAATTGTACCGCCTTTGTAAACTTAAGTTAGCACTAATTACTGTTATTGGGACTACTGGTCACCAAAAATGGCTAAGGCTTATGACGATTGGTTCAACCAGACAGCGTGGCATAAAATGGAGGAAAATAATGCATCGGGTAGAGGGCGCATCATACAGAGGGTGAAGAAATATATGACTCTCTTCGTACGTTGATGAGTCTGGAAACTTGCTTGGTATGACGAATGCAAATTGGCCACATAAAAGAATGAAAAGGTATACGCACGAAACATCCAAAACCAAAAATATAGAATCACTATGTATGACATATTATACGCGTAGGTAAGTGATATTATTCGTCCACTTCGAAGAAGTTAATTATGACCTGGTAGTACAGCATCACTAGTCAAAGTTGCTATCGCAGCAACGTACTGCCAAGTTCAACTGCTTCATCAGTCTAATGCCCCTAAGTTAAGCGTACAAGTCACATCTTAAGCTTCACTATCCTGCCCATGTCGGTAGATGTTTCTGCAGTTGACTTTTAGGGTTCAGCAGTCTCCTGGTTGCTGGCTAGGCATTATAACAACTTAGCCACCCTACCATATTGCCGGTTAGATCCTAACCCCACTTCAGCCATCGAAGCTCCATCCGGCTGCAACTGTCTGATAAACGTAAACAATGACCGCTCACTCAGGATTTCTCATCTCATTTCAGGCCGGGGTGAATTATAGAAGGGCAGTATTGCGCTGGTCAACCATCGAAATGCCTGAGACACTAGGGTCTTTCCTCACTGGTGTGATTGAAAGTAAGTGATAACTGCGGTGAAGGGATGGTGGCTTACCATGGATCCCTATGGTGGTCTGGGAGAACCTTCAATGACCGGGGCGAATTTAAGACCCAGTCGGCTGTCAGCTTTCGCAGCTCAAGTCATAAGGAGTTGGGTCGGTAACGTGGGGGCCACTGGTTCCAACTACACGGTAACCCAGATTTCCCCTCACTTCCACTCATCAGTATCCACGATACCAGTCTATCAAACTGTGACCGTCCCAGATTAAAATTATTTTCATACTTATTCAAGGTCGGACAAAGGTGAGAGCGGGCTACTGTTTAGAAAGCTACACATGTCAGACGAAGCTCATCAGTACGTTTGAGGATTTATTCGACTTCCTCGGGAATATATTCAGACATTGCTTGCCACCGTGAACACTCAAGACGTTTCTTGGTGCTTAAGGTTTTCGTTGTCACGGGTCACTTGGGTACTTGCCTTGGTCATGGCTGTTTTCTACAGCCCATCTCCCGTTCTAATATCTTAGAATAAGAAATCCGACCGTCATGTGGAAACGGTTTGAAAGAAGTGATGACGGAAGTGGTTCAAGAACCAGTCTGAGAAACTGTAAACGCGTAAAATCCCCATGCGACCCAGGACCTTTCGAAGTTGCGCAACTCTCATACTTAGTTACACCTTCAGCCAGGAAAATGGTATCCCACTGATTAACGGTTCTTAACTTGTCCCCAATAAATTGTTCTGGAGAATATTGTGGGAGGTTTGGCCCACATCTAGGAAGACGACGTAAATTGTTTGTCCATTGTCTCCGTCAGTCGCCTCCTCTTTTCAAGGGGCTCGGAAGTTGGAGGCTCAAGGGCCTTGACTCATGAGACCGTATCGGGTGGGATGTGTGGCGTTGTCTCCCTTGAGGAGTTCCGGAACACCACCGACCATCATAATTTCAAGCACTTTTGAAAGGGTGGGTTAAGGAGCTTTAGATCTCCGGCTGGTTGCGTCACCTTTGTAACCTGCCTTGAATATTGGCAATGAGATATCTGATGTCAACCTCTTTGGTATTTAATTTCTTCATCTGAAATGTTCTAAAAGACTGTAAAGACTAAAAACTACTGTCTGTGAGCAGCTCTCACATATCACTGGTTATTGCCAAACATGCTCTGGGAACTTTTCTGGTCAGCGTTTCAGTGTCTTTTTGAACAGTTCGCTGGGTGAAATGCCCGTACCGTAGAATTTCTCACTGCAGCCATGAAGTATTAAAACGCTTGTGGGCGAGGAGGGCTTCAAACGCCTTTTTTGAAGGTTGATTTTTGCATCAACTGGAAAACTAGACGGTTTTGCTACCTCCTTACTGCTCACTGGTTCCTCTCATGAACCCATCATTAGGCCTCTGGCGTTAGCAGTTGGCTGTGGTTGTAATATGCGGCGATATACCCCTGAGAATTCGTTTGAACTGCCTCACCAATTTGGTCTGATCATGGGACTCATCTTTTAGAACCTTGATTTCGCATATGTAGGCACTTCCCTCTAGGCAAAAATTTACGGTTCCGTTTCGGTGATCGTTGTGACAGTTTTGGTTGTTTATTATCGTAGTAAGAAGTGACATCATTGATGTTTGTTTTGTCTGACTTCACATGGCCTGTTTTTCCAAGCACACTGAGCTTCTCCGGTCCACTCGCTGCACCATTGTATTTCTTTAGGGTTATGAGCGGTAGCGGCCGTAAAAAATAGGGTTTACAATTAAGTTCAGTGTATATCTTACCGTAAAAAAGCTTTTTAAGAGTTTTGACACGCCTCGAGTATTTATTTCTTGTTCACGACCCAAGACTGAACTCAGTCCAACTCAGTCTGGGTATGAAAACCTCAGAGATTTGTATTTAGTGAGCACGGTAACTAGGCCACTAACAAGACCAGGTTTTCTTCGCTTTTCTCAGTCGATTTACTGTCAGACGAAAAGTGAGACTCTAAAGGAGAAGAGTGTGTTACTTCTGGTGGATCAGCATGGATGGGCTCTCAGTATTATGATTTGATCACTGACCAGCTCAGATTTACAGTAAAGAACTTTTAGTCTTGGGTTCACGGTTCACTGAGTTGGGTAACCTTAAAGTCTTCATAGTTCTTCCTCTTGTGGCGGAGGAAGGCAGTCAGTTCACCGCCTTACTGCTTCCCTGTTGTTATCTTAAAAATAATAACCTGTTAACAGTTTGGCCTAGTTACGGCTAGACATAATTGTTTTCTAGAAAGAATCTGTCGTTCAGCATAAGGCAGTCGAGCCTTCATGCCGTCATGTTTAGACTCCATGAGTGATGTCCCCAAGTTCCTAGGATAGTCCCGCAGACTGAACTGATCGCTTATGTCTGTAAGCAGTCGGTCTTTAGGCGTGCAAACTCCCCATACTTGGTCGCACAAATGTGCGGTAAAATCCCTTACGACTAGCCCTTCCACATAAGCTGACGTAGTGGTAGTGAGTAGCTCCATAGTTAGCCATACATTAAAATCTGAGTGGCTAGCATGTAACCCTTAGTAAGCACTTCATGCGCTTTAGATTAACAGCACCTCAGGGATTCTCATGGTTGCAGTGTGTACATGCAGTAATACTAATCACAATTATTATCATTATTATAATGGAAGGAACTAATAGTGATAATGTGTATCCCACAGGTGTATATCATTTTTACTGGTATAGTTGTTGTATTTAGTGGTGAAGGTTTTCGGTAGGGCTGATTACCATCTCCTACATATCCCAGGGAATGATAATCTCCAGGCTGAGGGGAAGATGATCTTGCACCCCCTGCAAAT